TTTACAGCAGTAACAGTGCAAAAGAACAGTCAGTAAAAACAAAAACATAGCAGTCAATTGTAATCTATGTGATATAGTAATGGTAAAACTAATAGTGCAGTAGACAGTTTGTCCATGAAGCTTTTAGTGAGTCTGTTGTTTCAGTTCTAATTGATCTTGTTATCTTCATTCAGCAGTAACGCTGCCAAACCGCCGTCCAGTGCGACGGCTGCGGCCGCCGGAAGCACCAAGCCGACAGAGTCCAAGAAAGCGATCACCATCACTTTCAGCAGCCTGAAGCCCAAACCCAAGATCTTTGTAGGAGCCGCTTTCTTCGGCACGGGGAAGAAACCGACGTCCATGTACAAGAAATCTGCACCGAAATCCTCCACCAGGCCGCCGGTGAAGAACAAAGCCACAAAGCCGCCCGCTGCCACGACGAGCCAGCAGCAGAAACCTCCTGCTCAGGTGAGAGGAGGCGTTGTGTGGCTTTATACTCTGCAGTCTCTGTGTCCAACAGAGTTCACGTTTGTTTCACCTTTTGATGTTTTCAAAGGTTTCAGAAGACTTGAAGTTCACAGAAAGAGGAAAGAGTTCGTCAAGAGAGAAGTTACTGTGTGTTAACTTCTTTATCATCTTCCAGAGCGCCTTAAGGTTCCCAGGGGCCGGCTACATGTACACTGAGGGAGCTGAGGCCTCTGAAGCCTTCTGACTGACAGTGGATTCACACAGACCCTTATCAGTTTGAATTAGAGCAAGTTAAATAATATAAGGCCGCTCTCAATCACTCTATAAAAGCCAACAGGTGCTCTGCAGATTTAACCCGATTCAGTGTTTCAGTTAAATATTTATTAGTTACATATAACATATATTCTCTTATATTTAAGGCGTACAAGGACAAACATTGTCTCTTTGTCACAGTGGATGGATATCCGTCTTCCTTTATGTTATATGATCACAGAAGCTGCACTTTGTTTGACGATGTAAACTGTGACAGAACCGTTCCTGCCTTGTTCTCCAGATGATGTGCCTTTCAGTCACACACGGGAGCTGTTACAGTGGTGTTTTACTGAGTGTTGAGGTGCAGTTAGGGGCATGTTAACATAAAGTTGATGTTATTTTATCCTGCTTGTTTCCTGCAGACTCTCGTCCAGCCGGTGGAAGCAGAAGAGAAGCAGCCGATCACCAAACAGAGACCGAAGTTTGATCCGTCAGACTGGATGGACGAGCAGCCTGAAACTCCACAGCAGCCATTAAGGTGCTTCACTGCTCCTGAATGTTCCCCCACTAACAAAGAGCCTTAACTGACTTATTTCTAAAAGTCAAACAAGACAAAACACCAGATTTAATTAGGTTTAAATGTGTGAAGGGGGAAGAGTTGTTCCAGGCGGTCAGTAACCTTCATCTTCTTCCTGCAGCTCTCCTAAACTGCTGTCAGAGAAATACGGGATCACCAAGAAGCTGAAGATTGTGTTGACAAGAACCCCGACCTCGAGTTCTGCATCCATAGCGTCGCTCATTACCCGGGTACAGGACACACACACACACACACACACACACACACACACAGATTATTTCTTGTCCTACCTTCAGTTTACTGTGGACATTTCTGACTGAATAATAATGACGTTGACTTGACTTCTTCCAGGATGTTCCTCTGACAGACGGTGTCTCTGAGCCCGTCTTCGACCTGAGTGATATAAGTCCCACCAGTGCTGCTGCCAGTCCGCCCAAAGGTGCACAGCCACACACTGTAACAGGTCCAGTATCCACTGAGACACTGAGCAGCACACATTGATCCTAGAGACTGTAGCTGCTTTATCCAGCCAACTGGTGACTGAAACTTGTTCCATGAAAGCTTTATTTTAAGTATTTTGTGTTTTCCTCCACAGAGTCTGCAGCGGTGTATCCCATCTTTGGCTCCGCCTCCAAGAGGTGAGACAGTTTAATTCACCAACATTTCAGCAGCAAGTGTCTGATACCTGAACCACATCCAGACATCCATGATACAACTACAACAGTGTGACAAGATCTTTAAACTGCAAATATAACCAGCATCACAAATAACTACATATTTAGCTCTGCAGTAATGTAAATGTAACAGTTTGATTTTAAAATCATTTATTTACATAATTTAACTTCACTTACTCTGATGTCAATTGTGGAAAAAGTCTGAAACCTTGAAGGGAACGTGTAGGGACTACACGTAGCACCATGAGTTGTATTTCCAGCATGTGAAGTTAAAAGCTTTGGGAGAAAAATAAGATGGAAACATTTCCTTCAACATCTTCATCCTCTTCAGTAAAGACCAACAGCAGGAAGATAGGAAGCAACAGTTTTACATTTTATAAACACAAGCCAATGATAGCACTGAAGGCTGCTAATCGTCTCCGCTGTGGTTTTCCTTTTTTTTTATGAAAGTTGACGAATTCAGACAACACTTCAGTGTGTTTGCTGTCCTGTAGGTTAAGGAAAGCTCTGCAGTCCCCAGTGTCCTGCAGCACCCCCTCTGGCCAGACAACGTCACTGCAGACTATTTCTGCAGCCAAAGAGCGAACTGTTCGCAGGAGGAAGGAGAAACAGGACGACGACCAGCTCATCATCGTACGTTAATCTTCTCATTCAGAAGGAGAGCACAAAAAGGTTTCTAACCTGTGTGACTGTGGTAACAGTGAGTGCAGCTGTAGAAACAAACAGGGATCTCAAATCAAATGTTCAGCATGTATTAGTCTGGTTCCTTTTGTCTTAACTAAATTAAACTGTCGTCAGCAAGAAGCAACCCCCTTTCTTCATAGATCTTAAACACAGATTAGTGTATTTAAAATAGATTAAAGTAATATTAAAGGCTTTTATCAGGACTCAAACATGATTTGAACTGCTGAGCATCCATTGGCTGAAAGTCATACCACCAATATACTTCATATGATTATATTGTGTAACTATAGGAGCTGGCAGTTGACTTGTGAAAGAAAGAAATCCTCGGACCAGCAGGGGGCGATAATACCTGAGAAACAGAGAGGTGCTGCAGTTGGAGGCTGTGGGATAAAGTTAAAGCTCATGTTTGTGTCTTCCTGTGGTACAGAGAGGGGGGAGGAAGGAGGGAGGATGAGAGAGTCCTGTCAGCTTTCCTTTATGTGCGTTGTGTGCTGACTGTTTTCCACATCAGGACGCAGGCCAGAAGCAGTTTGGAGCGACGACCTGCAGCTCCTGTGGGATGGTGTACAGCGCCGACAACCCGGAGGACAACTTCCAACACAACCAGTTCCACCAGCGCTTCCTCGACTCCATCAAATTCGTGGTAAAACTTGCGTCTTAAAGTGCACACATGATGAAGATAATACAGGTGTGATTTACCTGTGTGTACACCTGTCAGTGGTACTTGGTTGATTTCATTGTGCAGAAAAAGACTAGACTGGTAATTATCCTGATTAAACACGTGGAAATTGATTAAAATGACCAAATATCCTGGAAATAATCCATGTTGTCTAGGAAATCTGTGTTTTAGCCCTCGCTCAGGTAGTTTACATAAACCTGGAGGTGTATTTTATTTGAAACTCTTGGTGTTGGTAGGATGAGCTGTGTGCTATGATACTTCGAAGTAGGTTGACCAGACTTGTAGCAGTCGTTTCGGTGTCTAGTCGTCGATGTGAGTTACAGGAAAACTCCTAATTATAGTTAATTTGCCGGAGAGCGCAGCCAACAGCAACTGTCACCATAAAGACTGACCACCGACTAATGAACCTGAGAGAGTGTATAATAAAACTGGAGTTAAATGTGTCAGTACTTTACTAACAGTAAATGACTGTGACCTCCCTTTATCTAAGCTGATCCGTTCACTGTCTTTCCTTTGCCTCTGAAATGCTTCAGTGCCTTGTGTTTTTATTTGAAGTAGTTTCAGTATTTGCTCTTCTGCCAAGGCTGCTGGCAGCAGTTTGTTTGAGTGGTTGGCTCGTAACTGCAGCGTGGTCTCTCTGTTGTGTTTCCAGGGCTGGAAGAAGGAGCGGGTGGTGGCCGAGTTCTGGGATGGAAAAATCCTCCTCGTCATGCCAGACGACCCCAAATACGCCATCAAAAAGGTGAGTTTGCACCTGTTCCCGTGTGTGTTGTAAAAGCATGTCGCCGCTTCGCTCCGTGTTTGATGCGGTCACGTCTCCTGCTCTTTCACGAGCGTACAAACGTCCTCACGTGGTGTTTTGTGGTTTCAGGCCGAGGAGGTGCGGCGCGTAGCGGACAACGAGTTGGGTTTCCAGCAGGTGACTCTGAGCAGACCCACGCAGGCCAAGACCTACCTCTTCATCAACACGGAGCGCATGGTGGTGGGCTGTCTCGTCGCTGAACCCATACGTCAGGTAGGGCTGGAGACTGGGGCCCTGAAGCAAGCAGTGTCTAGTTCTTCCACCTGGAAATTCCTTTAAATGACCAAATATCCTTTAAATGACCTGTTGGGTTTTAGCTCAGAGTGCAAACAATCAATCAGAGCATTATTAATAAAACCTTACACACAGTGGGTGCTCTGTGTGGGTGCTCTGTGTGGTGCTGAGGTTCTAACAGACGCTTCACTCTGCGTCCCTGCAGGCCTACAGAGTCCTCGAGCAGCCGGACCGGCACAAAGACATGATGAAGGACGACTTCATGGAGCGACACCGAGCCTGGTGCTGCTCCACCGTCCCAGAACAGGCTCTGTGCGGGGTCAGTCGGATCTGGGTCTTCAGTCTGGCCCGACGGCAGAGCATCGCCACGCGCATGCTGGACACCGTCAGGTACAGCGAATGAAGCCACGTCAGCAACTGTTTGATCTCCAACAGGATTTTTATTATTGCAAATTTGATTAGAGTCCAACTAAAAGATTATCTACCACTGAGAACCACGAGTCATATCAACAGTGTGTGAACTGTAGTGGATGCTTAAAGTAGTCTGGTGGATCCCTGCAGGTCACTATAATGTTGTAACTCGTGGTCAGAGCTACAAGAAGAACCAGAGTTGTGGGATGAAAGTAGAATAGTAAGAGTTCCCATGCAACCTGGAGAATTAGAGACTAGTTTTCCAGTGGTGGAAACACCTGGACATTAATTAAAATCTGTTGAACCTGGTTTAGCAGCTGCATTCAACCCATCAATGGTCAAATGTCTTGTAGGGTTGATGAATACATACACAGCAGTGTTAATTGTAATTCTTTCAGGCTGACAGAAGAATTTTCTGTGAAATAAATTCTATTTAATTTCAACTGTTACTTACAGGCTCCGGCCACATCAATGTTTCAGTTAGAAGAAAAACCTACTCACACTATTTTACTTACATGTTTCCGTACACTCGTATCTGCTGTGTGGATCTCTTTACTGGTTGTTTACCTCATTTAAATTTTAAAAAATTAACCATTCAGTTTGAAAACACTTTAAATAAATCATCAATTTCACCTCCAAAGTTTCACCTCCAATTACAGGCAGCACACCGTCTCAAACAGGTTAACTAACGTGTTGTTGGAGCCAGTGTTCTTCCTCCCTCTCCTCAGTAATCACATTTCCCTTGTTGTTTCGTTTAGGAGCAGCTTCATGTACGGCAGTCATCTCACCAAGGAAGAAATCGCCTTCTCTGACCCGACGCCCGACGGCAAACAGTTCGCCACCAAGTACTGCGACACGCCCACCTTCCTCGTGTACAACTTCATTGCGTGAAGAGTTGAATGAAGGACGTGGATTAAAGGAACTCTTTTAACTGACGCAGATTAACACTTCAGGTTCTCGTATGCAACGCAATAACTGTGGAGGTTTTAATGTTTACTTTGTGTTGACAGTTCAGTAGGTGTAGAGTTTAAGAGTTCTCGCTCAGTATTTATACTCGGTACGCCTCTACTGCTGCAGATGTTTGTATATTGGCAGTGCTTTCTATCCAGATGTTTATATTCTGCTTTACATTTCACATGTTCTGAAGATCGTTTGTTTGATCTTATTGGAGGATTTGTTGGGATCATTTTGATACGTTGATGTAAATGTTCAGGTTGGTTTTTTTTAGTTTTCTGGACATTTTTGAAGGAAAATATGTTGATAGACGATGCCGTCATTGTTTAAAGGCGATCTACTTTGTAAATACAGTTAATAAACATCGTCATTGTTTTATGATCTGTTTCCTGTGATGATTATATGTAAGTCCTGATAAAGCAGTTGTATTACACAGTACTAACCTGGAACGCTCAGTTTGTTCTCTAGTTCTAACAAATGTCTCAAACTGCCATCCATTCTTCAGTAACTGGGCGCCAATTTCCATCTTAAAATCAACAGTTTCCGGTTGAAAAGAACTAACTAGGACTGAACCTTCAGCTACTGATGTTAAAGGGCCAATAAAAACACAGGACGCTCGAGATCAAGAAATACCAAAGTTTACAGAAGTGCAGGAACACAAACATACAGAGTGACTTGAAGAATAAAGAAAGTAAAAACACTGACAGTAAAAGGAGAGAAATAACAGATAAAGATGTACAGTCAGAGTGTACAGGTGAATCCTCTGTGGTACGAACAGGAAGCAGTGGCAGGGATTCAGGCTGTGTTCATACAGTCTGATAAATCCCTGATGAGAACCCGTAACACACCGCGACATTTCTAACTCAGCAGCATCAGTCGATCACGATCACCTCAGTGGGCGTTTTATCCAGCGGGCCGTTGCTCTCCAACACCTGGACGATCTGCCCGGCCGAGGGTCTCTTCTTGGGCTCTTCCTCCGTGCAGAGGTAGAAGAGCTCCACCATCCTCCGGTAGGCGGCGCCCAGAGCCTCGGCATCCAGCACCGGCCTCGTCCCCAGCTTCTCGTAGTACGCGTCCTCGTCGAAACTGTCCTCCATCGAGTCCTCTGAAACACAAACGCATGGTTGTCTGAGTGTACATCAGTGACATCAGAACACTCCCACAGTTTACAGTCTGTCATTCCTGAGGACAAAACGTCTCCAGTGGACATTGAAACCGCGACAGAACTGTGACTCACCTTCATCCTCCTCCTCCTCCTCCCCGTCACCCTCCAGCATCTCCAGATGAGGCATCGCCAGCGTCATCATCTCCCACAGAGTCAGCCCGAAGGCGAAGATGTCTGCCTTGTCAGTGATCTCCCCTCCCTCGTCCAGAGCTTCCTTCGGTTTCCACGGCTCGGTGCCGATGTACGCCGCGTTCGGGTCCGACACTGAGGGCGAAGAGCGGGAAGAGAGCAGATTTAATGAGAATCAAACGGGATGACAATTTATAAAATGAGGTTATTTCTTTCCCATGTTAACACAAAGCTCATGTTCTTTTCTTCTTTAACAATTCCAACAAAGCAGAAGTTTGTAATTTAGCTGCATTAAAGCTAACGGGAGAGATCCCCGCTGGTTGATGATGAACGAGAAGAATCCGTGTTTCTGCCCGGTACACAAACAAAGTCAATCAGCTGCTGTAAACAGACGCTTCCACCCAGAATGTCTTCTGCCAGTTCTTTAATCCAAGATTCATCGAACACACACACACACACAAGCTCTGTGTGTGTGTGTGTAAGGGTTTGCTGATACGATCTTTAATAAAAGAGGGACGACTGATAAGATTGATATGATGGTCTGAATCAACATCAATAATGTTGATCAGATCAATTTTATGTCTCCACATTAGTGATGAAAGCAGAGGTGATCCAATTATTAATCTTAGATTTAACAAAGGTATAAATTCAGCTCAATAAAATCACCAAAGTACTTATTTTATCTTTAATATTTGAGTTTTTAATGTTTGTAATAACCACAACCTGATTATTTATTATTTTACCATTATAGTCTTTCAGTTTGATTTTTAAAAAGAGCAGATGTTTATTTATTTTTTTTGCTCCATACGAGAAAATTGGATTAAATATCAGAATATTTGGTTTGTTTCTAAAAGGCCTGTTTTTACAGTGTTTACCCGACTATTTCATGTCAAAATGGCTGCTGTGAAAAAGGTCTACTGACTACAGTTTCCCTCTGATCGTAGCATTAATTTGGCCACAGCACAGGATAAAATACAATTATATGATTAATGAATTAATGATATTTGGTCATTTTAATGAATTTCCAGGTGTTTCCAGGACTCATGGGAAACTAAAAGCAGCTGCAGGGTTTCTGGACCTGAACACCTGTTTCCAGACTGCATTTTACAATCTGAAATACGTGTTTACGGTGTGTTGTTTTCTAAGATGTCTTCACCTCTCATGTTCTCGTCGAGCTGCAGAGACACACCGACGTCGCAGATCTTGACGGTCTCGAAGTCGCCCTTGATGACGACGTTACATGACTTCATGTCGCCGTGCAGCAGCTTCTTCTCGTTGTGCAAATACTGAAGAGAGAAACAAAGCATTCCTGCTACTCTCCGCTTAACAACGTCCTCCTGTGTTTACTCTGTTCTGCTAAACAACCCTCGCTTCTACAATCGAATTAAAAGATGGCGGACGTTGAGAGGAGACAGACTGGGGAAGGAATCAAACACTGATGTTGTCACTGGCTCATGGATATTTTATTAAAATCATATTTTAAATAAATTCAGAGTCTGTCTCTATACTGGAGGATTAGGACTGTTACATATTACCAAAATCTCACATCCAGATCACAATATAACACATTGTCTATATATAAATAGAATAAATAGTTTATATTAAATGACCAGATGGAAATATTATTCCTTTTTGAATCATATACATATACTATACTTTTCAATTCAATCTATAAAATATGAATATATAGGAAATTATGGCAGAACAGTAGGTCTATATCTCAGCAATTTGTACATTTCTGTGAAAAGAACTGAATTAAATTGTTATTATTTAAGATGTAAAAACTCTGAATTTGTCTAAAAAAGAAGCTTATTAAGTCTGTATGATTGTTAAAACTCATCTGTGCTGCGATATTCACAGGAAATAATCAGAAATCATACACATCTCTGGTGAATCTCCATGAAATATCCATAAAATATGTGGTCAGTGATAGGAGAGGGGTCGGGAACCAGTGATTCAGGCTGACACCGGGTAGAAGAGAGTCTGATTTACCTGAAGGCCTCGAGCAACGTGCAGCGCCACTTTCTCTATGTTGGCGGCGGGAAAAGCCTTCAGGCCGTCCTCTCTCCTCTTCTCGATCAGGTCGTTGAGGGACTGCTCTCCTCCGTACTCCATGGCCAGACACTTGGATCCATCTTTGGCCGTGGTGAAGGCGCGAAAGCCTCGACAGATTACAAACAAAACTGATTACTACAAAATAAAAGACAATGTTAAAATAAGATATTAATTCCTGATTGGTGTGCTTGGTGGGGAATGATCTGACTAACAAGTTGTGTTGTTGGAGTAAATGTGAGGAGGCCTTTATCAGTGTTATCATCAGCTGTGGTCGGTATTTTCAGTGTAAGTTGTCTCTTAAAAGCATTCCTGTGGTTTACATTGATGCAGAGAAACACATAACTGAACCACAATAACCATAAAAACCATATTCTCTGAAGACTGTGACACTGTGTCTGTGACACTGGTCGCTGTAAAGTCCTACGTGACTGTGAATGCACCGCGAGAACCTGTTGTCCCTTCTTACCGACGATGTTGGGATGATGGATTCCCTTCAGGAGCTCGGCCTCCTCGTTCAGGCGCTGCTGGTAAACCGGCAGCTGCTTGGTTGCACACTTACTGTTGATCTTCTTCACGGCCCAGGGAGACGCGTTCAGCTTCCCCAACCTAGGATTCATTCATCAACATAAACACACATCAGGTCACACAGACATCCGGGACGTCCTCTGTCTGTCCAACAGCGTGGGAGA